TGCCATCCTCCGTTTTCAACGTAAACATGGTAATCACTTTCACTGGGAACAACCGAAGGGGTCATTGATGTTCAAGCTGCCATATTTGCAAGAAGTGCTGTACTATTTGCTTGCCGTGGATATCGATCTGTGTGTGGCCGGAGAGTTAAAAGACCCAGTGAACGGTAAACTCATCAAGAAAAGCCTTACAATTTTGTCCACTTCACAAAATCTTGTTAACATGTTGACTGGCTTGCGATGTGACCACAAACATGAGCACCAAGTGATTGAGGGACAGGTGAACTACCAAGGTCAGACGATCAACAGGTCCACTTTTACTGAAAATTATCCTCGCAAATTTGCCAGACGACTGGCCAAGTGCTTTGGAAAATTTCAGTATCCAAAGGAGACCCCATATCGGAATGACATGTGGGCAATCCTAGCCACTGAAGATCACCCAGAGGCACCAGCCTCAAAGCGTCCACGACGGGAGAGATATACCTCCTTGAAGCTCAGCCGAGCGTGCGAGGTGTCCCGACTGCCATGGGGAAAGCGGAGAAAACTAGCTGGTAAAACCACACCAATAGATGCGAAACAACAGTGGGAAGTAATCTTCAATAAGTTAGGTCAGATAGTTCCTCGGGTAGGCAAGTGCGTCATCCAAGACGCGGAAATAACTAATCTGGTCCAAAGCTTAATTGGGGACAAACAGTTGGAAACCCTGGTAGCCTGCCGGGGAGCCAGCCGCACTATGGCACCACCTGATCACATCACCAAAGGGGTTGCCCCTCTCCGTAGATGTATCTTTACCGAAAGAGGGAGTGGGGAAATCAGGGCTGAAGATGAATGGGAGAACTGGGAAGGGTTAGCCAAAAGAAACCTCATACGACCGCCTCATGCAACAAGAATGAGCCTGACCATGTTTGCCAGAAATGTGTCGGTGGGTCAGCCAGAAGAAACCCATGACAGCTCATCAGTGCCGGCCGATGTCACCAATGGACCGAATTTTTCACAGAATAATTCAGAACCAGTTCCCGAGGTTGAGAAACTCGAAGAAGGTTCCCAACCGAGTGCAGCCGAAATTGATCCGTCAGCTGAGCCCACACGACTCACTAGTTCCCAGCGTGCTGATTGTGCCAGTTCGCAGCAAGGAGCCAAGTTCCGAGCACTGCCCAGAGATGAACAGATTGCGCTCATTCGCGCCCACAAGAACTTGGGACACCCTAGCCCCGAAAGATTAAGCACCATTTTGCGCGCCCAAGGGTACCGATCGGATGTGGCCCAAGCTGCACTGGAGCTGAAATGTTCCATTTGCCAGGCAAACACCTCTCCAAAGTTGGCTCGACCGAGTCACTTGAAGGAAGAGCTGGACTTCAATGACAGAGTTGCCATGGACGGTTTGGAATGGACGAACAAACAAGGGAAAAGCTTTCATGTATACCATATGGTAGATTGATCCACCAACTTTCATGTAGCCAGGATAGCACCAGATCGTTCAACGACTGCAGTAATTCAAAATGTGGTTGACATGTGGATGTCATGGGCAGGTGCACCTTGTGAACTTCTTGTTGATGCCGCCACTGAATTGAATTCAGAACAGTTCAGCAATTTTGTTCAGGGTCATAACATTCGGTTAACCACCATTAGTCCAGAAGCCCAATTTCAAAATGGTCGAGCCGAGCGACATGGAGCCATTCTCAAGACCATGTTAACCAAGTATGAAAGTGAGCAGGACATCAACAACTACCACGAGCTATCTCAAGCACTGTTCTGGTGTACCCAAGCAAAGAATGCCAGCAGCCTCAAGAGAGGATATGCCCCGGAGGTCCTGGTGCTAGGCAAGCACACCCGCTTGCCTGGAGCCGTCTGCAGCGATGAACTCCTGCCAGCTCACCTGTTAGCTAAATCGGAGAGCGCGCAAGGAGTAGCCTTCAGGCGACAATTAGCATGCCGTGAGACTGCCAGAAGGGCGTTCATCCATGCTGATAATGATGCTGCCTTGCGCCGCGCCATGTTGCGGAGATCCAGACCTGGCCAAACACCATACTCACCAGGGGAATGGGTAATGTGTTGGCGTCAAGGAAAAGGTGCCCAAGAAGGGTTCTGGGCCGGTCCAATGAAAGTAGTCATCCATGAAAACGCACAAACGATTTGGACCACTCAGGCCAGTCGACTATATCGATGTGCCCCAGAGCATGTTCGCCCTGTATCCGCACATGAAGCACGAGGAATTCCAATACCCAACAAAGAACCATCAGTATCCATTATTGCACAACAACTTCCAAGCATACAATCCCAAGGAATCACCCGAGCCATCGAGATATCACCATCCATAATTCCCATTGAACCTGTGATCCCCGTAAATAATCCCGAGAATGAAAATCAATCTGAAGCTCAACCTGATGGAGAACCAGAGGCATCCACACACCGGTCACAGCCATCCACTTCCAGCCATGTACCACTTGAAATTTCCAATAACCCTGAACTGACCAATGATAACCCCATGAATAATTCTCCCGAAGAACTAGATCCGGCCATCACCACACCAGTACCACCTGATGATGATGATGACCTCTACTGTGAGGGATACCATTGCATAGACCTCGATGTTCCCATAGACCCGCAAACATCCGAGCATGACCTGGCCTGGAAATGTGAAGTACATGTCACTGACTCCGATATCATGGCATGGCAAGACGAATCGGATCCGGCTGAAATGGCTTTTGTAGCTTCAGCAGCAAAGCGCCAGCGAGCCGAAGTCCGTCTGTCCGAGCTCACTGCAGCAGAAAAAGCCCAGTTCCAAAAGGCCAAGGAGAGTGAAGTCCAGAATTGGGTAAATACTGGTACCATATCCCGAATCTTAAGGTCTAAGGTTCCACATGAACAGATTCTGAGATGCCGTTGGATATTAACCTGGAAACCCATAGATGAAGAACAGAAGGATCCCAAGAAGGTCAAAACCCAAACCTCAAAGGCAAAAGCCAGATTGGTGATTCTAGGGTACCTAGACCCAAAGCTGGAAGAGTTGCCCCGAGACTCTCCAACCCTTGGCCGGAACGCAAAGATGCTGTCTTTACAGCTGATTTCATCCATGGGATGGATGCTGCGGTCTTTTGATATCAAGGCTGCATTTCTGCAAGGCAAGCCACAAGCTGGACGAACACTAGCCATTGAGCCTGTTCCCGAGCTCATACAAGCCCTCCAGTTATCCACAAACGAAGTTTGCAAGTTGGAAAAGGGTGCTTACGGTTTAGTAGATGCTCCATACCTGTGGTTTATGGCCATCACTGAAGAACTCAGAAACCTCGGATTTATTCAAAGTCCCTTTGATCCATGCCAATTTATCCTCCGTCACGAGAGAACCAACAAATTGTCAGGGGTAATTGGACTTCATGTAGATGACGGCATATGCGGGGGGGATGAATTTTTCGAAGCAAAACTTGCCCTTTTGGAAAAGAAGTATCCATTTGGTTCGAAAAAGATGAAACAATTCACGTTTACTGGGATTGAAATGAATCAGTTACCCGATCACACCATAACGATGAAACAGACCAAATACGTGAATGCCATTGAACCAATTCGAATATCTCTTGATCGCAAAGGACAAGGTGAAAGCCCAGTCACAGAGGAGGAACGACAAAAACTCCGAGCCTTAATTGGTAGTCTCCAGTATGCCGCGGTTCACACAAGACCCGATCTGTCAAGTCGTTTAAGCCAGTTACAATCAGCCATCAATAAAGCCACAGTACAAACACTCAGTTTTGCCAATCAAACACTTCATGAAGCAAAGAAACACAGTGAAACCACCATCAAAATTCAACCCATTCACGTCGATGACTTTCGATTCCTCGCCTTTTCCGATGCATCCTTCGCCTCGAAGGGAACACCAAATGCACATACCGGTTGCATAATCATGGGAACCCATAAGATGATTGCGCAGAATGTTTCCTGCCCTGTAAGTCCTATAGCCTGGGGTTGCAAGAAGATCCAACGTGTGGTCACCAGCACCCTTGCAGCGGAAACAGTATCACTCAGCTCAGTTTTGGATCATTTGTCATGGCTACGTTTATGCTGGGGTTGGATGCTTGATCCATCGGTGAAATGGAAACAGCCTAGCAATGCCCTTTTGAAACTGCCAGAGACATTTTCTACCGCTACGTATAGAGCTCAAAACTTGCCTGAGAGTGTTGCAGCAACTGATTGCAAGAGTTTGTATGATTTGGTAACCAGAACGGCAGCACCGAACTGTGCCGAGTATCGTACCCAGCTGAATGCCAGGGCAATCAAAGATTTCCTGTCGGAAGGAGTGCAACTGAGATGGGTCCACAGCGGAGCCCAGCTCGCTGACAGCCTGACGAAGGTCATGGAAAGTTCATTCCTCCGAACCACTCTTCACCATGGTCACTACAAGTTACATGACGAGCTGGAAATTTTGAAGAATCGAGCCTCTTCTCGAAACAGGATCAAATGGTTGAAAGACACATGCACGACTCCTTTGACCGAACATGGCTGCAATGATGAGTGTTTATTAGCAATAAATAATGGATTTTTGGGAGTGTGAATCCACATCATTGCAGTATCTCATAGAGAGCCTTGCAATTCATGTCCTCAACCTGCCAGGTGTTTTTCACGTTCAACAAAACCTCATGGGATACCGTTAGCACTTGAGGCTCAGGGAAGCCAAGGAGTGGATAGAGGGCGGGATTCATAAGTGCTGTGGAGCCATAACAGTCTACTTGGTTTGGGCGAGGACGTCCATTGAGCCTGGGGCTCACGCTTGTCGATTGGGGCATCACCGCCCGTTGTTGCAATCCCTTTCTGCTCTGTTTTGGAAAACCTTGCAGCCAAGACTTGGTGGCGGATCCAAAAAGAGAGAAGAGCGCGGAGTTCAGGTGGGAAGATCTTGCTGGAAGCTACCAGGTGGTTCGGTCTAAGACCAACTACAATATATATTCACAAATACATACCATATCTATTCAAATATCGTACGCCTTTAAAAATTTGTGTTCTTGTCACCCCACCTCTGCAACATCAAGGCGTGGGACCATGCGGCACCAGCGCTGCCTTCAATGATTTTCCCAGCGAACGGATTTAGAACTCGTAGAAACAGTTATATAAGTTATATGAATTTAGTATAAATATAGTATAAATGAATAGTTCAATAATTGTATTTTTTTCTACCAGCTTTCTAGTTTTAAATATGTTTTCTAAATGCTGGTAGATTAGATATAGGTGCTCGAAACAGGATATCTAGATATATACATGGAATCACATAGATGCGATTAATTCACCTTATTAGTCTCCAACCATAGTTGCGAACGACGCCTCCAATTCGAGGATGTTTTCCTATCATATGTGCCTTCATTTCATTAATTACTGTTCCTTATGGATTTCCCCATATTGTCTATACAAATCCCGCAGGATTTCTCATGACCGGTAAATAAGCTAAGCCCTGGTGAAAGCAATGGGCTAAGGCGTCTAAGGATTTGTCCAATGGACTCACAAGTTTGTCGGTTTATTTGCACCAAGCATTTGCACGGTCTAAATTCAAGCCATAGCGTTAGAGCGTACAGAGGGATCTGAATCAACTTGGGTGTCTTATTCGGACATGAAATATAGATAAATATAGTAAACCATGCCACATTGATCAAATGCTACCAACAACCATACCAAAAGGGTTTATATAATCTTATATATAGTTGGGGGTTCCAACTAAGATGATGCAAAAGTCTTCAGATGTCTTGCTCAGATTGAGTAGTATGCCATGACAACATCTCCAAATAACAGTATCAAAGTCTAATATGACTAGCCTCTGGTAATTTGTTACATAGCTATTGAAAATGGTCCAATCGAAATAGTTGATGTACCGAACTTAAAAATGGTGGATCTTTCCAGTTCGCAAACCGTTAGTTGTCATTGCTGGGTGTGACCATGATCCGGGGGAATGGCCATCATGGTGGTACCGTAGAGTCGTAGAGCTGGGTATGTCACTGGGTAGTGGAAAATCTACGGACAATCAAGGTACGGCCCGAAAAAAGATAGGTTTCTTGCAAATCAAATATGAGCAGCGTTCAGCTATTGAAAATGGCCATTTAGTTCGTTGATTTACCCATTAATAGCATGGTGATTTTCCATAGTTAAGTTAGTTTACCAAAGGGTATTCCATTTAATCCTGCTTGGTTAAGAACGGGATTCCCCATTCTTGGATTATGAAATCATCCCCAATATAAAGGGTAGTATAATCCCCGAACTAATCATCAACCCTGCCGTTTTGCACACTGTTCATGTTGTTTTCTTTCCGACCAGAGCATGTGGATGACATGATTTGGGGCATGTATTCACCAGTCGGCATTGGGAATGGAATATCTTATTGAATGGGATATGAGGTATATGCGGTATATGGATATAAATTAATATATGGATATGATGTGACAAAGGATACCCCATACCATACCCATACCATACCCCTAATATGATATTCATATGGTTGGAGACAATGTTGCACGGGATACGTAAATTGGAGACACCCAAGACATCTTAGATCATCTTAGATCTCAGTGTGTAACGCATCCATTTAAAAGACGTCAAAATATCATAAAATACTCCCGTATACACATAGGTTTGAGTATTTACCTGACAAATTTGACGATTGATATACCCTCTGGTGAACTAACATAGCAATGGAAAATCACCATTCTTAATGGGAAAATCCACTATTTCTATGGCCATTTTCCATTGCTATGTTAGTTTACCAGAGGGTATGGCAGATTTCCAGGTTGCGTCATCCAACAATGTGTCCAACGTCCCGTCCTTCCTTGCAGGAAAAACTTAATAAATGATTCCTGCAAAGTCCCCAGCCAGCTCATGTTCCATTAAGAAAATAAAAAATAATCACCATTAACAAACCCAGGTTCACCAGCATTTACCTGTTGGTTATTCAAAGGGGGTTGCCCTTCTTCTGTTCATCAACCAACCATTGCCTATAGTGTCATCACCAAGCAATTCACAAGGCGGGGCCCCCAAACAATAGCTACCAGTAAGTTGGTGGAAATAACATGAAATAACTAGGCTAACTATGGTTTGTGGTACTTTTAGACAGATCTTTAATTTATTGGGCTTTAAAAACCAACACACATAGCTGGAAAGGCCCACCTTGCATCACTTTGCAGGTCCAAGCATCAGGCTTTTGCCAATGCTTGGTAGAGGATGATGTCAACATCAGACCTTCCGGGTGGGTCTGGCCGTAGCTGCTATAGCTGGTTGCTGGTTGAGCCACCCCGTGATATGCGCAAGTCAATGGGGTTGCTGGGGCATCATCCCAGGATTGAAGCGAGCGATTGAAACATCAAACGTCAAGCCATCAACCAGTGATTTAACCGAGCAAGATTGGAATGTCAAACATAAACAGCAACAATGTACCCTCTGGTAAACTATATAACATAGCTATGGAAAATCACCATGTTTAATGGGAAAACTCACTATAAATGGCCATGTTCAATAGCTATGTTAGTTTACCAGAGGGTACATTGCACAAATACGATTTTGAGGATTTCACCAACAACAATGAATTGGACAAAAACACCTGAGATGCGTTTCGAACATGTGAAACTTCTTTAGAACATGTTGACTCTTGATGCGGTGGGATGTGAAACCTTTCTCCATCAATCTTAATAATAAAATAATGAGAAATGAGAAGTGCCCCCGCACAATGTTTACCAAGTGTTTGTTAGGAACTTTGCAGTGTAATGTGAATGGGTTCAGTCCGCAGAAGAACATGTAAAATGGATATTGACCATCATCATTTCTACTAGATGCATTTTTCCGCTGAAAAAAAAACCTACAGCATCCTTAAGATCTTACGCCAGGGAAAAAGTACAGGGGTCCACCGTGGACATTGAGGCAGGATCTCCTTTCCAGTAGCCAAACTCTTCCAGAACCAGTTGATTTTTCCCCTACGTTTGATGGTGACATACCCAAAATGATGTTGGTCAAAGCGCTATCTTTGCATTGTCAAGCTTTGGTAGTCCAAAAAAAAAATATGTCACCTTTTGCTGGTTCTGTTGTCATTTTCCAGCAAAAAGCTCAAGGGTTAAACTATCAATCCAGGCGCTTGGGGATGATAAAGTCATTCGAGAATCGCTTCGAAGCTTCCAAAATGAATTATCACAAGTGGCCACATTCCTTTTCTATAGATAAAAAAATGATCATTAACCTATCTATCCATCCCTTTTCTAGATTACATTTGCCTGTATCTATCTATCCTATGTTTGTTGAAATCATTTTCATCACTATTTTCAAGTTCGATAAATCAACGATTTCGATTGGGCCATTTTCCATAGCTAACTTTCTGAATGTTTACCAGAGGCTAACCAAATCATATCCCAGTCATATCCATGCTGAAAACTCCCCATTAAACTTCATTAAATCCCATTACCCTCTGGTTATTTAACATAGCCATGGAAAATCACCATTTTTAATAGGTAAACCATCTATATCCAGAGGGTAAATAATAACCAGAGGGTAAATCCCATTAAATCCCATTAAATCCCATTAATCGCCTATAGGTTGATGGCTCTATCTTCACCCAGTCGACGCCTCCCACACTGCAAGGACTGGCAGAGATGTAGCGAGCCTTGCCAGGCCAGGCCACCTTTCACCTGGGAGACGCGAGACGCTCGGAGCGTCGGAGAGGTTGAAAAAATGCTGGGATTTTAGAGGCTTAGAATGTAGTAACTATTAGATACTCTTGGATGTATGCGGATTTAAATGGATTTATGCGGATTTATGCGGATTTATATGGATTTATATGGATTTATATGGATTTATATGGATTTAGGGCGTCTAGGAAGGGCTAAGCTTTGAAGTTTCAGGAGTCACCCAAATATGATGAGTTTTTACTACTTCTATAGCTTAGATTGTAGTGGGTTTATACAGGAAAGGGCCTTCCAAACGCTAGGGTTCTGTTGGCGGAAATGACGCCATCCATATATCCACCAGAAATCATATATAGGTTTCTGTTGGTTTATGACTAAGCTTAATGTCCGATTTATTTTGGATATATCAATATCAATGTAGTTGCGTGGTGTTGTAAAACAACTTGTTGTTGGGAGGCCGACGCCTGCAATGAATATGTTGAAATCAATAGTCCCGTCCCTTCCCCCGATGATATGAAACACACCCCAGCCCCGAAGTCCGAGTTTCGCGAATTGTATCTCTTCATTTCCCATAGGATCCATGGTGCTGGTATATATGCTAACATTGGGGGTATATTGATGGTAAATGTTGCCATACAATGTGGGGCCCCCTAGATTCCCCTAGATAGCTAAGTTGGTTTATAACTCCAATAACTATGGTTTATGGTATGTATAACTATAGTTACTGGGGCTTATAAACCAACAAACACAACTGGGGGGGCCCACATTGTATATAGCAGCACCATGGATCCTATGGCTTTGGGGGTCCTTGTGCGGATCTTTTTCCTATAGGACGATCGATCGCTGGGATAAATACAGAGAGTTCCTTTCGTGTCACCCCAATGATGACTTTCGTTTGGGTTTATAGATCCTAAATTCTGGGGGAAAAATAGTCCCAGTGTATTGAGTTTATATAAACGCCATGATTTTCTCGGAAAAAACATGGAAACACACAAAAATCCCACCATTTTCCATATCAAACATAGTTTCACTAGCCAGAAAGTTGTAACATCTGGCGGTCTCCAAAAAAAAACATGGTTCCATGGACATCTCCAAATGGGTGATACCATATTTGCCCCACCGTTTCCGGGCTATGCACCATCTTAGAATAGCATGGCCGTTGCGCCTCCTTTCCGTGCCCCATGTGTAGCGGAAAACTAACAGTTTGCAAACTAATCCTATGGGGATATGTTCCATTTCGCAAACTATAAACGTTTACCAGAATGGTTACAGCATGTTACACCCAAAAAAGCGAAGCGGTTTATAGCCTTATTTTTCCAAAGTAAATCATCATTCACTTTTCCCCACCAGTCTGTAGTGATGATCCACAGTTCACCCAGTAATCCCAGTCCTTGGGGTTTTCTGGGGTCTAAGTTGGTTGATCCACATCTGAGCAAAAATAGCCCCAAAAATCCTCTCATCTTAGATACCCGGCCTGGTAAACGTTTACAGTTTGCGCCATAGAAAATGGCTCATAGAAATCGTTGATTTACCCATTAATAGCATGGTGGATCTTTCCAGTTCGTTTTTTGTTCACGTTTACCTCAGAGGGTACTAGTTGGTCGATATAGGTGTCCCTAATGTGGATTAGTTTATAGAATCCATCCCAATAGGTAGCATGATTCCCCACATAGTAACCAATCAATGGCTCATCTGTTATTGGATGTTGTTAAAACAATCCAATCTGGGCTAGGTAGTTCATACAAGGTGGTGCCTCTCTAGTTATAAATTGGTGTATAAACCTCATTAACTATACGTAGATATATCACCTATAAACCATAGTGAAATTGGAGTTATGTGGTCCCCAACTGAACGCTATCGTTTACGGGGCACCACCTTGTAATCCTCAAAAAACCGTAGAACTCTTTACGCTCATCAACCATTGACCCGGCCTGAAAAATGATACAGTTGAAATGTGAAAAAACAGCGCCTGACAAGCCGCAGTGGGTTGCAATAATCCCAATAGGTAGTATAACTATATTGAATTTTAAATTCAGTAAGGATATACTAGTATATAAGACTTATTTATAACATCGTATAACTATTAAATTATAAATTAAACATAGTATTAAAAATAGTATAACTATCAAATTTAAGACATTAAATAAAATAGTACTCATAGGATCCATGTATGCTATATATGGTGTGCCATGGATCCCATCAATATACCCCCTTTATGTTAGCATTTTTCTACCAGCACCATGGATCCGTCATGGGATATACCATTCAATCTCAATAAATTCATCCCAACAATTTCCCTGTGTTCATTATTTCCCATCAATCATAGTATGACTACCCTAGTATAACTTAAGTTATCCCTGGGCTTCCTATCATTCATCCAACACGCATCGCGCCGCAACGCGGATCGCAAGCGAGGCACCACCACGGTGACATCCGTGGAATCCAGGCATCCAATGGACCCAGTTCCCACGGATCGCTGTGCGGCCAGGGCCCGCCTCTACAGATCCACGGACGAAAAATCTAACGGGGTGAAAAAAAACGTACCCATGACGGATCCATGTATATTGATGGGATCTATGTTACCATATATAGATGGTAAATGATGGTAAATGATGGTAAATGATGGTAAATGATGGTAAATGATGGTAAATGATGGTAAATGATGGTAAATGATGGTAAATGATGGTAAATGATGGTAAATGATGGTAAATGTTACATTAACTAACATAGTATATATGCTAACATGACTGGGGTATATTGATGGGATCCATGTTACCAGATATAGCAGCACCATGGATCCTATGGGGTATGATCCATGGATGACTAAATGGCTGACTAAATCCCATGGCAACTAGTTGGATATATCATGATATATCATGATTATCCCATACAAAATCTATATCTATATATATATACTGGATGATCCATGGATGACTAATACCCCAATGCGAACCATGGTGCTGGTATATGGCTACCTACAAGTTTCTGGGTGATTTATGGGGCAAATGTTGGTAAATATTCCAGCACCATGGAGGGATGACTCAATGGCTAAAAAGATCCCATGGCAACTAGTTGGATATATCATGATTATTCCATACAAAATCTAAAAATCTCTATATACTGCTTGGTGGTGACTTCACCATCTTGAAAAATGATGGAGTTCGTCAATGGGGTTGGGATGACATCCCATATATGAAATGGAAAAAACATGTTTGAAACCACCAACCAGTATAATATTGACGTGTATGTATATATATATATGTATATATATATATATTGGGATAATATTGGGCGAATATTGACAATAAACTAATAGTGACATTAACATGACATTAATCAACTAATATAGTATGTTAATATTGACATATTTCTTTGTTGGTGGTTGACCTACCCCTCTGAAAAATATGAAAGTCAGCTGGGATGACGAAATTCCCAATATATGGAAAAATAAAATTCATGTTCCAAAACCACCAAACAGAAATGTATGACTAACAAATAATAGTTTGACCTATATATATATATATATGACAATAATCAACTAATATTGGGTGAATAAACAACTCATATTTCATATAATTGACATATGTATATGGGGTGAATAAACTAGTATTGACATTAATATAATATGATTTGTCAGACCGACACGAACCATGACTTTTTGTTTTAGTCAAATATATGATTAGAAACCCACACATTTTGTTTGACTCATATTGATTGATACTGAATTGAAAATCTAGAGAAAACCATGATTTCCGAATCATCATTAATTAGATAGAGGGATTTTCCAAAAAGTGGTCCCTTCAATTCTGGCAATTCTTGAAGAGAATCTCCGTGAACAAAATATGATTCACAGCTTGGGAGATAGTGATTGCTTAAGCGGCACAACAACCCGCAATAATGCTCTTAAATCGTGAAAAACAGTTGGGTCCTGTCAAGTATCCATGTCTGAGATGCTTAAACTGAGCATTCGCCGGAAAGTCCAGCCAGGGCTCATTCCCTCAGTGGGATCTATGATCCGTTGCCATTTTTGACCAGAAAGTACGAGTACAAAACACACATGTTAAGTTCAACTGCTCTGTGGAGGTTTCTGAGAATGGAAGACCCCAAATCCAAACTTTGGACATTTTCATAAGCCAATGGTGGTGGTCAATCGCCGAGGACACAGGCTGATGGCTATGGGTCAATACTTCGATACTAAAAATGGGTCATGGCTATGACCTGAGAAAAGGCGGGCTGCGAAAAAACATCTGACCCTTGGTTGATGTACCCTCTGGTAAACAAACAGTTAGCTATTGAAAATGACCATTAATAGTGGATTTTCCCATTATAAATGGTGATTTTCAATAGCTATGTTAAATTACCAGAGGGTATGTTGATGTTAAAAAAATATACTCTGGAAAAACAGAGATGACTAGCTACGTAGATTTTTTTTGGTATGCTTTAAGTACCAGGTTTAACCATGGAGTTAGCTGATGGATCGCGGAAACCAACAGCGAAATGGGATGAACATTCTCATTCTGGTTGATTTATATATCCCATCATTATGTATATCCACATTACATGAAAATGATTGAACATGTATAGATATATATATATATGTATAGAAACATCTCCAGCCTACCCCGTTTACTGCTGGTTTCCCCACTATGCTTCCCATATAAGGAAGTCATCAAGTTTTCACCATGTTTCATCATTTTTTCTATGTAAATCCCCATATTTCCTAGTGAAACTCCATACTTTCTATACGAGTTTCACATCCCTTAGGCCCTAGGCCTAAAGCTGATTCGGGCCCCAGTGGTGGATTGGCGTTTACCATCTGGTTATGACTAACATAGCGAACTGGAAAATCCCAACCATAAATGGAAGTTTTTTAATGGGAAAATCATCTATTTCTATGGGCCATTTTCCATAGCTATGTTAAATAACCAGAGGGTAACTGAAAATAACTCCTGAAGTATCACAGTTCTGTTTGGGATGAAATCATCCATTTACGATCACTATCAATCTTCATTTCCAGCACAACGGAACTTGTAGAGGATGCCTGTCCAAAGTGATCCAATCACTTGCAGATAAAATTATCTTCACATTCCTCAACTCGGGAGTTGCCACAAGCCAACGCAGTTGGTTTGAAAGCTCAACTATCTAAGGAACATGACCTTGCAACCTGTCTTGTCCAAGAGGGGCATGCCTCTCCTCCTCAGGTCCTCTGCTTTTTTGTTGGTTTCTCGTCCTCTTCAGCACGTGCCAAAGGGTTCAAACCCTGGACTGACAGGGACGTTCTGCACAGCGTCCATTCCACGAGAAACAAGTAACTGATGTTCAGGAATGTTCAGGATACATTGGAAGACCACGATCATTTATGATATATATATATATATATGCATATGCATATAATTGCATATATATATACTATGATATTGAAATAGTTATAGACTTATATAATTATATATATATCATATATTATCACATCAATATTCACCACTGTATACCCATCTAAATCAATTCATCTCCCCTGGCGCCTCCACTCCTCCGCCGCCAGCGCCACGTTGCGCGCCACCCGGTCCACTGCCAGCCCCGTGCGGCGCAGCCGCGCTGGGACGTCGCTCCCGTGGCGCCAGGCAGCCCGCGGCGATGTGAAGGCAGAGCCTGGAGTGGATGAATGACTATATATATATATTCCAACTATGGTTAATAACTATGGTTATTATAGTTATTCAGCATGGTTATTATAGTTACTATAACTATGGTTAATGACTATGGTTAATGACTATGGTTAATGACTATGGTTAATGACTATGGTTATAACTATGAATAACTATGAATAATTATGAATAACTATGGTTAATGACTATGGTTATTATAGTTATTAACCATATATATTGAAGCTTATATTCACCATAGTTGGGATATATATGGTCAATAACTATCATATGGTGAATATATATGGTTAATAATATATAGTTATATGATGGAGGTTTCCTGAAATAGGGGTACCCCCAAATCATCCATTTTAGATTGGGATTTTCCCTCATAAACCATCCATTTTGAGGATTCTCCATTTATGGAAAACCCCATATATACATATGCTATATTCACCATTATTGTAGCTAACTACGGTGGAATATAAATCATTGCATTCACCTATTTTAGCTATTATATGATAACTATGGGGGAGTTATTAACTATATATATATGGAATAATAGCTATTATAGTTATATGCTTATTGTTAATCCACAATACAAGTATCACTAGATAACTTTGGTTGTATAACTATTTTTTATTATGGTGATATAACTAGAATAACTGTGGTTATTCCATGATATTGGTTATTCCATAAATAAGAGGGCTCTAGTTACTACTGTAATGAATAGTTAGCGAAACATGGTTTATAATGTTTATAACTACAATCACTATGATCTTAATGCTGGTTCAATGGGGATATAAGTAACAATATGCGGATAATTCATGGGAAGTGCAGTGCCAGTGAACTTTTTGTGGATAGATCTCACCATAGTTATAGGGGCCCCATATCAGGTCCTTTTGAAAGCAACAGGGGTTGCAGGCTACAATCCAAGAAAATGATCCAAACATCTGTTCTTTGGCAGTTAAAACATGTTAAAACCATGTTAAAACCATGACCCTGCCTCTGCTCTGCACAGTTCCTACAGTTCCTCAGGATGCCTCCACTCACCCTGGTTTCGAGTGACGTCGTTGCAGTTCAGAGGAGTGATCCTGTTCTAACTTTGATTCAAAAATCATACTCCCAGTATTATCCTATGACCCTCTGGTAAACTAACATAGCCATGGAAAATCACCATGTCTATCATTGTTAATGGGAAAACTCACTATAAATGGGTCATTTTCCATGGCTATGTTAGTTTACCAGAGGGTAACCAACAGTGAAATAGGAAGTGTTCCTCAGCAAATGCGACCCAAAGGACTGATGCAAATCTCATCCAGCTGCAGATGCATCGCATCCATCGTCTCAAGTATCGCAAACGAACTGCGCCAAGATTGACCCTGGGCGTTTCGCTTTGTGTTGCTCCTGGTTTTTCATGTTTTTCATGTTTTTTTTTTGCGGGATCTATAAAAAAATCTATAAACAAAATCTTATATATCCCATGACGGATCCATGGTGCTGGTATATATGCTAACATAAAGGGGTATATTGATGGGATCCATGGCACACCATATATTTTAGATCTCGATCTAAGATATGTCAACATAATCCTTTTTTCAAGGGGTTCCAACATCTGCCTGGCCCCAAAAAATTGCGAACGCCCTGGTGAGGTGGATAGAAATTCACTGCTTGCCTCTGGTTGCCTTTAAAAAAAAAAGCCATGGTGAGGCTGTCATTTTCATCTCATAAATCAACATCATTCAACATCATTCAGACTCTGAAACGGCACTGGTAGGCTGATTTTTCTGTGGCTGATGAAGTCTGCATGGCGATGAGTTCATCGTAACTTGTCCAAGCCTGTTCTCTGCTGTTCTCACTTGGAGGTGATATCAACATGCAAAAAATGCCCTGCAGCTATAGACCAAAAAAGAAAAAAACTTCCACATATATTTATTTACCTTGCAATTTGTCGTCTGTTGATTTGATCAAACCACCATGGTTTCTTGTCTTTTGTACCTCCATCCGTGTGGATTGGCTGCAATTGGCGATTGGTGCTTGAAATTCCCATGTCAGCGATTCGTGCACCAAAGTTCACTTAGCTCCTATAAATCCACATCCCTACTGTGGATGGGCCAGCGAAATCTTGCATCACCAATTTGGGAAGGTTGAAAGCCCAACAAAATAATGGGATGTTTACCATCTATCAGGTGCAGGATTTCGCAACGGCCCATCCACAGTTACCCTCTGGTAAATTGACATAGACCCTGAAAATCACCAATTTTTAGGAAACTAATCTTCCAACCCCAACCAACCAGGGTCTATGTTAATTTACTGGAGGGTACAGATCCACATCGGCCTACTCTCTGGCCCAAACCACGAGATCTAAAGATCTACAGATCCACATGTCCTCTCCATCGATCCCATGTTTCATCCCATGGTTATGTCCCATGGTCAAAAAGTGGTAACATAACTATGGAAAATCACCATTTTTTAATAGGGAAATCAACTATTTCTATGGAAAGATCCACCATTTTAATGGGTAAATCCACCATTTTAATAGGGAAATCAACTATAAATGGCAATTTTCAATAGCAAACTCTTAGATTACCGACCATGGTGGCCATGTTGTCATCCCATTCCATGGCAAGCCTCGCAATGGCAACAGCCGAGTCCCTACTAAAAGATAGATGACCATCTTCCAATATGGGTATATCATGCCATATCTATCCCATTATATATACCATCTTGTTATTCAACATAGCCATGGAAAATCACCATTTTTTATAGGTAAGCCATCTATTTCTATGGGCCATTTCCCATGGCTATGTTAAATAGCCAGAGGGTATATATATAATATAATTATATATATAATTATATATAACTCTATATATATATATATCAATTCTATCCCATTATATCCATCCCATTAAATCACCATTAAAAATGGGTGAATCTTCTCCAACGAACTTGGACCTCTCGGGCGAACTTGGCCAACCAAAAATTTTCGGCCGGCCTTGGAGCTGAAAGTCATCCGGAAGATTCCCAGGTGTGGCTCTAAGCCTTAAGGCGGAAGGCGTACGAAGGCTGCGGCCACGGATTTTTGGCCAGGGATTCTGCTGATCAAAAAGGAGGAATGTATATAGGCCAGGGGATCTGTTGCGGGAGATTTTGGTGATGTTTTGGTGATATTTTTGTGAAGATTCATGGGAGTCCTTGGGGATGTTGAAAGCCAACTGCTGTCATGTTGCTGAAAACTCAAATTGAACGAACAAAACATAGTTTGTAAACTAGGAAACATGGCTTTAACCCAGCAGCATTGCCATCAAGAATGCAATTTTGATATGACGTACGGGAAATTAGGATTGATTAAACTGACCACCCAAACTCTTGAAATTGAAATGGAAGGCTGGCAGTTGAATGGGGTTGTAACCCCAAATTTACTCAGATTTGCAGCAATTGCAGTGCGGCTGCGTTTTTTGCTTTTCTTTGACAATGAATCATCCAGTTGGGGGGCCCAACAACAATGAGACATCCTGAATATACACCCTTGCAAACTAACATGTAACCCCCAAATCATGTACAAAAAGGATCAAAAAGGACCGTCATCTTCCAGACGCTATTTTTTCGCACCGTTCAATTCGCGGGCAATGTCACCCCCTTCAAAACTGGTTGGTTGAAACAAGGTTTCCCAGTTTTAGAGCTATGATAGTCCCCAACTCTTTCCTTTTTTTGTATTTGCACATATTGGCTAGTATCGACCCCCTCTTTATTATCTAGGAATTATTATCGGCTATATCTCCATATTCAGTGCTATTGTTCATGGTTAAACAGATTGTTTATGTGAGTTTATCATTCATCATAAACCAAGAGGGGTTTAACAATGTGTTTTTCCAGGTTTATCAACAACCCTCTTAGTTGTTCATGGTTAAACACCCCATCTTGGTTCAACCCCATCCACTGCCTACAATCATCAACCAAGAGGGGTTGTTTATATAGCAGCCAGTGCTGGTGGCAACTTGGTCTGGGCAACACCCAAACACCACATGGTACCGCTGTTTTAGGCGTCCTTGTCTCAAAAATATGACTATCAATTTAAGTATGGGATGATCATGTGTTGAGATTGCATTAGGTACCATATTTCAGGAGTAAAGTATTGATCTCGACAACTACTATAGGTTCTCAACCATGATCATCATCTATTTAAGAATGTAAAGCCAAAGTAAAATATATGAAACAGATGCCTCCTGGACTCAACACTGAGAAAAATTTGGACAATAACTATGTACACCATGTATGTGTATATATACTTGATCATATTTGTATGGTGAATAGATTTGTATGGTGAATAGATTATATTTGTATGGTGTATTATACTTGATTATTATACTTGTGCCTACTTGATATATCATAGATTTGACACAACTACTATAACGAATCCTTGCTGCCTGAGCAATTTCAAACAAAACCGAATGACAGAATATGTGTCACATATAAAAACAATTGTATTTCTTTACAACCACCCTCAGTCCCTGCTGGCAAATGTTCAAAACCATCAAAACCAAGTGTGTTTGGTGTTAGACCATTCTCATCATAAATATAAGTAATTATATAAAATCATTATCATACGCCAATCCCAATAATAGTATCTTATTTCGATCTATCCCCTTCTATGGATGTCCATGATCATAAATCATAAAATATCATAAAATAATGAATCATTGATGATAAACCCTCATTTATATATTTATTGAACCCATCATTAACTTTAAACAAAATGGTACCTTATAATAATAATTCACTAACCTGAAAAGTTCGGCCAACTATTTGGATAAATCCGAAACAGTGAGGTCGCAACATGATTTACCTAGAAAAATGGTCTTATTCACATCATTCACTAAATCATTAATCATATTAATCAAAAGTCATAAGTCATAAAGCCTTATTAAACCCATCATTCACTAATGATGATGCTATTAGTCCCATCATTTTCCACTTCGGAAGCCTCACATCTCCAAAGACCACGGCACCGGACTGCATGGAACTTTCCAGCGCGTCGCAGGCATTGGACCAGGGCAGTGCTGTTTGCATGGAACCCATCGTGACAATATCCTGATGGCGGTTATGGATGGTTATGGATTGATGAAAATTGATGGATTGATGGCTTGATTCAGGTCTGATTTAAAGGGGTGGCTTCAAATGAATGTTCAGGCTTCTGGGCTAGGGCTATTCTATGGCGAAGTAAGGTGGGGTTATGGTGATGAAACAACCATACTCAAAGTATGTTAGTATGTTAATGAACCAACTTATATCTAGGTGGTACGACCTTGTCATGCTACATAATCCCCTACATACCAGACAGTATCACCCCATATGCTAATCAAAATCGCAATGAAGTCAGTTAAACTCAAATCATAGCTTCTTGGGGGTGCAGTGAAGATTACCCTCTGGTAAACTGACATAACTATGGAAAATCACCATCTTTAAGTTCGGTAAATCAACTATAAATGAGCCATTTTCAATAGTTTTTTGTATGTTTACCAGAGGGTACAGCCCGGCTATAAGTCTGGTTGCTCCCTCCAGGTCACACTAATAGATGAATGCCATTGGAAATGCCGAACAAACCCTGGGGAATCACCATGTTTCACCTATGATATCACCATCATATCCCTATGTAAAATATGATGGATATCATATTTCACCTATTTTAAGAGGGATATGATGGAGAAAATGTGGATATCCTTGGAAAATATCTAATATGATGGAGAAAATCCCGAAATAGAAAATCACCAGGGATATCCCGGATTGATATCACCATCATATGATAAATATCCCGGATTGATATCACCATGTTTGCATATGGGGTGTGAAAATGGAGTTTCATGTGGTATGCTGATTAATGTGGGGATACACTATTGTCTAAAAGTTTTTCCAAGATAATTCATATAATTCTGAGTCTGTGGAAATGATTGGGGGTTCCACTATTGTGTAAGTTTTTTTGGGGGGTAATGTTTTCAGTTGTGTTTTAGCATTTTCATTTTTGTTTTACATGTTTTCAGTTTTTTTCAGCATTTTTCGTGTGTGTTATGTTTTTAACATGTTTGAAATTAACTAATTAAGTAATTAATTAATTATTTAACTAATTGATGGCTATTTGTTTGTTGTGGTGATCCTCTATTGTGTCCAGCTGTTGTCTGAAGAAACTTTTTTTAAGGTTATGACCCATCGGCATGAAATTACAGTATATAGGATGCCTTGTTAAAACCAAATTGAAAAGCAGCACCCAAACAATTTTTCAAGGGAGTAGTTCATGAGCAGCATGATATAATAATGATGAAATAGGATGAATTGGATTTAGGGGCAGCCATTTTCAGAAATTGCCACAGGTGTATTCTAATATCACCCGCCCCACTGAAAACCAGGGCTCGACTTGCAAGTCGTTTCTGGACATTTGGCTGAAAAAGTGCAGGCACTCGTGCCACCTCTCTCCTTCGGCTGAAATCGACGCTTCAACGGGGGATAGCCCTTTATGGGGATAGCTCAATTGATGGCCGTTGAGTATAGGGAAAATTTGTTAAAAGGGACGAAGAAAAGCAAAAAACTAGGCCAGCTGTATATCCAAGATCAAAAAGTGTTTTTTTATGCTGGTGAACCCCCGTTGTTCCAGGTTGTTTCTCGAAATTAGGGGATAGCAGGGGCTTATGAACATCCACATCTTCGAGGTTGAACATATTTTTCTCGGAATGTTTTTTTTTAGGAAGTCGAAAAAGTTGATCACCCGGATCTAATGACCTTTGAGTGGACAGAATCTTGAATGCTGATAACTGCTAATATATTCCAACCAATTTCTTAGCCTTCAAAACACCCGGTTCCAATGCAACCTGCAGCTTGAAACTTTCTTCTCAAGCTCGTACTTGCGAGGTGCCAAACGCAAGATCTACTGGTGTTGTCAGCAGCGCTTGCCACATGTCCCAGTGGCTGTGACTTCGCTCTTCATACACTAACGGCATCTAACGGCCCCATGTGAGTATCCTCTGACCTGCGCATTGAAACCATTGCCAGCTGGCTCCGGAATGGTGCCAATTGTGCCAGCAGCATCTGCAACCATTTCTTGGCCTTGCTTCTGTCCCTTCTCCAGTTCATCCGTACGCTACTCAGGACCTTCCTCTCAAGCCGGTTCGGACGCCCCAAACCTTGCGGGATTCACCAAGGCAAAGGGGGGCCATGTGAAAAAAACGAGCTCTTGATATCTACGACCATGTACCCGGCCTGGTAAACGTTTACGTAACTATGGAAAGATCCACCATGCTATTAATGGGAAAATCAACTATTTCTATGGCAATCTTCAATAGCTATGTTAGTTCACCAGAGGGTAGACTTGCTGATTGATATGCGGATAAAATGCGACCCCTGGTGATACGGCTGCACGTCATAAAACCATGCCGCCAATGACTTAAGAGTGCCTCGGAGGCCTTTAGAGAAACCAAGTTGGGCAAAACTATTGACCTCCAAAAAATCGCAACGGTTACTCTCCAGAAAATTAACTTAAAGATTTAAGGAAACCCAGAAAATATAGGTCATTTGCCAGAAAACCACCATTTTTCTTCGTTATTATCACAATATCTATAACCTTTCTACCATCATTAATTACTATATTTGGTAATATAGGTCATTTGCCAGAAAATTTCCCATGGAAATTCGTTTTCCCACCATTTCCCAGGGAGGTACCCCTGTCCGGCCAGAAATAGTCCGATGAGTTGTCCCTCTGTGAAACATCGATCGCCGCGGATACGGCAGATCCATTTTCCTATGCCATCAATAGTCAATTCCATTACATATGCATATTACATATGTATATAATATATATATATATATATCCCATTGATATTCCATGATGTTCATGATATTCATGATATTCCCATGATATTCCCATGATATGCCGATTCTTACACCACTATTGCTGGGAGGCTACGACAATTCACTGCCTCGCCGATCTCCTCGTCCCAAGCTGTTGACCAACGAGTTGGCCGTGATCAGACTGCGAGGGATCTCGGCCTTATAAGTGGCTGAATAGGACGGGTTTATGGTAGATATAACGAACTAGTTCATGGGGATTATTTCATGGTTTATAAACCAACTTACCCTCTGGTAAACTAACAAATAGTCACCTATTGCTACTGTATATTCTCTTCCAAGATGTGCAGCTACCCATTCTTATGGCATGTTGTGCAGCAGATGTTTTCTGTTAT